TTTTGTTCGCAATCTTTTTTACACTTCATTAAAATCGTTAATTTTGCCCCCTAATCGGCTCCGAATTTTAAGCCAATCGTCATTATCTTCGCTTCAACTTGTACCCAGCGAGAAGTGAGCGACAGAGGTTGACATCTTGCTCATCCATATCGACTTCGGATACAAATGAAGTTTAAAAAATAACTCCTTTTGCTGTAGTTTAAGATAAATCTGATCAAGCAAAATGGTTTTTACTACTAAAGTGTGCGAATGCCAATTCACTTTGTCAAAAGGATTATAAGTTTTAGAGGTGGCAAAGCAAATCATGGACAAATGTTTTTAGAAGGCTCCATGTCTAGATGCAAGAAGGACGCCCATCGATAAAGTGTGTATGACAAGGCAAAAAAATTGGTGACAATGATAGTGACGGTGATAAAGCTACTCAATGCTACTACAAAGCCAGTCTATCGGCAAGTGTCGCCCCAGTAGACCGGAGGACTTTCAAGTGAGCAAAACCCACACAAACTTCGCCTTCTCTTCAATAACGTGTCGCTAAAACTTTTGCAGTTATTTAATTTTAACTTTGTGGTAAAGAGGAGAAGTTTTGACAGACCAAAAAAGTTCTCTTTAATCAACTTTTTACTAAGCGGAAAGTCATGAGGTTGAATCCTTCCTACTTAACTCACTTTGGGCCCGCAACAACTAAAAAGAGGGATGAAGCCTTATTTGTGGTAAGAGCTACTTAAAATGTGGTTTTGCTTAGCAAATAATGCATAAAGGCAGAAAGGAAATGCGTAAATGGGGCAAGGGGAGTAGCCTTGGGACTCTCAATGCTTGGCCAAGAAAGCCCAATTCTTTGTCAAACTGACGCACAAATGAAGCCCACAAGAGGTGTTGAGTTTGTAAAAACACCAACGTTACATTGCATTCACTGCTGTCTTAATATGTACGAGGGATTCTTTAAAAAATTTGGCGCACGAACTTACTGCCTCACTAATCAAACAGTTGCTCTGTAGGAAAATTGGTTGGTTTTGAAAGCCTCACTATTATTTCAAAGTAGTGCTGAGTGCGATTGGATTAGAAATAGGGTTTCCGGTCAAGTAAATATAAGGTACACAAAGATTGAAGCTTTCACTTACCATACACTGAATAACGGTCTCGTTTTGTAGGTGGCCCAAGGAATAGGAACTACCCTTGGGAAGACTCTCTAAATATCCTCCCATGGAGATGGCACTGCTCACGAGTTCGTAGTCATGGGATCTGTTGCGGTAGAAGTAGAGACCAGCAGCGAATTCGTTTAGATTCTTTGCAAAGTCTCGAGGATCACGAAACTGGAGCTGTCGGATTCGTTTTATACCCGGTGGGGAGAGAGGACGCAGATTGCAAAGAGTTAGGGAGGGGAACGGTGAGGGCGTGTCACGAAGCACCCTGGGGGGATGAATGACATCGTAGTCGAAGTACTGGCTCGCCAGGATTATCATGCAGGTGAAGAGGCCTATGTAAAGGCTAATGACAAAAGTCAACCAGAGAGAACGAATGCCTTTGTTGGGCGAATTGACAATGCGAGATACACCGCGGATAGTGGTTGTTTGACAGAAACGTAGAAACTCCTGCTTATAGGAGAGTGGTTCATCTTTCCTTTGTCTTCCTGCCATCTCTGAATGCTCATGTAATTAGCATCTTTCATCTGTAATACCACAGAGCTAGCTAGTTGGACTTCAGCTTGGAGGGCACTGCCACCTCCCACCAATCGTAACCCACCCTGCCCCCTTTGATCAACCAATCCCGCGTCTGAAAGCTAATGGACTTCCTACAAGTAGTTCTTCTACTTAAAATCTCTACAGAATGCAGCTGAAATTTAGCCTACTAAATGACCAAGAAAACGCACAATATGTATCCTTGCTTCAGAGAATCGACAATGAAATAGCTGACAACTCACCCCATCCATGTAAATAACAGGTTCTTGAGTTCTCCCAATTTCCATACCTTTCATTGATCATATATAACCGCTTTTACTTCCGTCAGAAATATGGCATTTTATTTTTTTAAGTGACTAAAAACAAACTTGGCGAAATTTCGATTTGTTTTGAAGGTGTAAGTGACTGAGTGACTTGTTGGTATAAACCATTTTTATGACTGATTCCCTTTAAGAAGCGAAAGTTCTTTAGACTTCCAAATGGTGCCGTTTAGGTTGCCATAGGAGAAGCCAATCAAATCAACGTAACGACCACACACATGGGCAGGAGGGATTAAATTAGTTTGGAATGGATTCGCTTGGTTGTGATTTTGTCAGTCTATTGAGTTGCTTGTCTTCAGGTCTTCTATCACTCTCGAGAAGTTGGGAATCCATGCGACGAATCTCTGTGTTTCAAGTTGCATAAAACTTTTATTGGGAGAGGTGGCATTAATAACATTTACTAACTTCACTTTAGTCAAGCAGAGACAACTTTATTACCTTACTAACGTTGCCATTTGTTACCGAGTAGATTCTGAGAAGTGGATGTTCTTCATCGTGTTGCAGGCAGGTTGCGTAAGCTACAAATACGGTCGGACGATGCTTACAGTGGTCTCAACTTAGGAGCTACAGACAAAATGGCAATGACAGTGTCTTTCCAGAGCCTCCTTAATGCTAGCAAACTAGCAGATCTTGTTTATCGTCTGTGCCAAAAATAATTCCGACTTTTTGTTAATTAAAGTTTTAAACGACCTATTGATGTTCCTCAAATGGTTAATTAAGCGGTACCATAAACTGGAGTTTACGTGCCAAGATTTCAGCTAAAATAACGTGCAGATAAGACTTCGGTACGGAGGTTTTGCCGACAGCTTATGTAAGCAAAGGGGTGAGATGGGTTAATATGCAAAGCCGGCTGACTGGAAAAGGCATCAAGGGCGTAGTCTGATCTCGAGACCACGAGTTTGTGGTGCGCTTAGGGTACCAATCAAGGGATGTGTGATGCTAAAGCGTTTGAGGGCTGAACGGTTCCGGAGGTAGAAGATGTCCTTGGCGTGCGCCTCAGAGACCAATCACCAACATTTTGCTGCACTTAAAAAGAACTTCAAATGGGCATTTTTGAATATTTAATCAGACTTCAGGCACAGCCAGCATTTCCCTTTTGGTTATGGAGCAGAGAATGTGGAGATTAATCAAGTTGACAACTTTTTAGGTTATGAGACTGCAAGCTCCGATAAGTTGGCGGTGGACCAAGAGTCCTAAAAGCGTTCAGATCGTTCACACTATTAAAAGTGAGGTTCCACGGGCGCAGCTGTTTCGATAATTCCCCAGCCAAAATGGACGATTTTGCGCTTTACACAGCAAAAGGATTTGTAAATTAGCTCACTTATCTCAAAAACCACAACCCTTCCTATATTATGGCAATGGTAACCCCCTTCCTTAGCCCTCATGTCACAGAAATTACTCCATTAAATGGGTGATAACAAGCACCTCCCACTTATCAAGCGTTAAAAGTGCAAATCACTAAGTCTCATTTTAAGATCCCTTTGCATCGAGACAATCGACATTTGTATAGCAGAAACTTGGACATCCTTTGAGTTTTGGAGACTTGGCCAATAAGCTCAAAAGTCATAACAAAAGGTAATGAACAGCCCTAATGATGTGCTCTTATAATAGGTCTGCCAAGCCTTGTTATAAGACACCGGGATATTATAACTGTAAGCGAAGTAAACAAGGAAAGTACTTTTATCTCAAAAAGCTTAGAAGAAGTTATAGCATTAATCAAAGCAGATCTTTAAGGGCTCTTAGCTAAACCTCACTATACCACGCCCCAATTACCACAGCCAACGGTCACTCCAAGTTGTTGAGTTTGCTGCCCCAAATCGGGACATGGAAAGCGAGTTGTAGGGAGCTTAGGTACAAAGAGCCCTCATATTTTTGAGGAGACGCTTATAAATCTTTACGTCGGACTAATCATCGGTTGAATAGTTCAAACAAAATGCTCAAATTCAAGGTAATGTCGCTCAACATCGTCTCAATGGAGAGTTTATGCTTATGATTGCCGCGAATCCACTCAATTTTGTGACTCAGTTGCTAAATCCAGATTTAGCGCTTTCATATACATGCATATCCGAGGGGAGTTTACTTGATGGCTAAGCTTTTTAGAGATGTATAAATAGCGACAATCGAAATGGGCAAGTTTTACAAAAGTTATTTGCTCTCATTCAACTTTAAAATAATTTTATTACTAAGAAATGAATTCCATGAAAAGGTATCGGCAGTGCATCTGGTGTCTGCAATTGCCTCCCAGTAAAATATTTTGTGAGGTCCTTTGTCGAGCCATGGTAACCTTTAAAATCCAATAAAAATTGCAAAATTTAATGAAAATTATCCCCGGTAAAAAGGATACAGAAGGAAAATGTAAGTTACCTTGTAGTAGCTTTACCAACTCCGCTCCAACACTTCAGGAAACTCTAGTTGGAGTTTGGACAAAATTTTTATGACATAGTGATGAGCTAATCACTAAAGAGGAACTTTTATTTTGCTTTAAAATTCAGTGAAAATTGAATATGACCAGCACTTTACTCACTAAAACCACTTGTTGGGAGTTAAATTTCTACTAGGACGACAAAGCTCGTGTAGATTACGTATTGGCGCACAGGAGGGCTGAAGAGCTGCCAAAGTTGTCAAAGACCAGGATGCTTCGTGGATTTACAATGGCCGAGACCATCGATGACACCTTATTACGCACCGCACATCAAATAAATAACCAAAACATCAAGTGCTGCTGGGTCCAATCGTATCACGCCAACTGACGCCATGGCGCTGACTTTCACAGGTCCAAGAAGGTGGCATCCTCTACCCTTTCGAACAGGCCATGGAATCATTTGACAGTGGTCCCTCCTCTGAATGCGAGGGATCATGCAACCACCCTGAAGGGCCAATGAGTCATCAAGAACCATGGCACCAAGATGGGGAACAAAACGACAAGACTGACATTCGAATTAGCGCTTTACTCTAGCAAATCACTTCTGTTCTGTTCTGTGATTTTGTCGTTTCTTGAGAGTGATGGAGTCCTTGTAATAAAAAAAGTTAAATATACAATAGCTGCCCTAGGTAAAACTCAAAACTGATAAGACAAAAACTAAAAATAATTACAATGGTTTTGGAGAATAAATAACTGTATTCTACTATGAACAGGTTGTTAACATAAACTATTTCGTCGGAATTTTACCTGCCACTTAAAATTGAACAAATTAAGGAAAGCGAGGATTTTCCTTCAACTCCACAGTTCGAAATGCTAGTGTATTATTTGTTTCTCGACAAATTTTGATCCCATTTGCAAAATTTAAAAAAAAACTTGTAGGAGAGTGGTTGGATAGCAATTTACTGCTAACTTACTCCTCATTGCTGCCAAGTGAGCTGCGCTTCCGGAATTTTGCATGTGAACTCACTCAGTTGTCGATCGCCTTTCGTCTATTAACAAAGGCACTCGTCTGATGGCTGTTGAAAAATTGCAACACAGTCTACTTTGCTCCTTTGATTGCTCTTCTTCACCTCCAAAGTGTGCATGTAGCCACTTTTGTCAATTCCAAGGAGGGTTCTTCTCAAACTTATTTCATATACGCATATCCAGACAATTGATGCACAAATATCACAAATTCTATGGTTTATTTTTGATTTGGCGCTCCGAATTTTTATCAATCCACCATAACTCATTTTCTCCGTCTGGAAACTATGACATAAACGAAGAATATAAAACGTCTTCCACTCCCTGGTCTAATGCGCATGGAAACACTTCCTTCGACCATTTAATGGGAGAATAGCAGAAGCCAAGGAAGTAGAGTAAAGTTTCTTTGCAATGGCTTTTATAAGGGAACCCGTTTTCTTTAATGGTTTGGGAGCACGATAAATGAATTTTATCATCTATCACATAGTCTTGATCAAAGCCAAGTCCTCGAGTCTTAGCACTGCAGCATACCAACACGAAGACACCCAAAATCTCTTATAATGAAAAGAATTTATAGGTGGTATTAAGATCGGCTACCTCCTTAATCCGGAATAGCAATCTTTAAGCATCGCTTTTACCACCACAGCATCCCCCACATCTAGTCATTTTGACATGAATAGAGCAGAAGTCGGATCTCGAGACGAAGGAAATGCGTTCTTGAGCAGAATGATAAGTGCTTAAGCGTGCATTAGATTATGCAGGCTCTGCAGTCCGTCCGAACCTTTTCACCCACAATTATTGACAATTTGATGGCTTGGTTAGTTCTTAGTCTCATCGTACCTATGACTGGATGAACCAACTTTTCCCTACTAGAGCAATATGGATGCAAGTATGTGTATGCAATATACTTTGCCTCATTTCCCATCTAAGGAGCCACAAGATATTGCAATAGTGAGAGTAATGAGCGATTTTTAGGAGGTAAAAATCCCCCATTTTACTGCTAAATGCTGGAACTTACCGTGACGAAGAAGGTAATGCGCTGCAGAGGGAAGAATGAGTGATCTGAACCAATGGAAGGTTTTAAAAAAATATCAACCCTAGGTAACTACTTGATTCCCATGATCTGCATCTAAAGGTGTTTGCCAGGCGATTGTCTTCTCTCTTGGAATTATGACTTTTTCTATCTTGAGAACTTAATGATTTGACGTCAAAATTTTACTCTCTATGAATCCATCTTACTGCGTCACCAGCGA